ATAGCAAAAATAATTTAATCCAAATCAATCCTGGTATCAACAAAAAAAAATTATATAATGTGATAGATGGTAACATAGAAATTATTTGCGATAGTTTTTGTTATAGAAAAATATTAAGCCAAATTAGCAATGTAAAAAAATTATTTTTCTATTATTTAAGGATGTCTCCTTGTATAGCAAAAATAATTCAATCCAAATTAACGCTGGTATCAACAAAAAAAAATTATATAATGCGATGGAAGGTAACATAGAAATCACTTGCGATAATTTAGTTATAGAAAAATATTAAGCCAAATTAGCAATGTAAAAAAATTATTTTTCTATCATTGAAAGATGTCTCCTTGTATAGCAAAAATAATTCAATCCAAATTAACGCTGGTATCAACAAAAAAAAATTGTATAATGTGATGAAAGGCAACATAAAAATCATTTGTGATATCATAGTCTTAATTATAGGAAGATAATCTATTAAGCAGTGTAAAAAAATTGTTTTTCTATAGTTTAAAGATGCCTCCTTGTATACCAAAAATAATTCAATACAAATTAATCCTGTTTTCAACAAAAAAAAATTATATAATGTGATGGATGGTAACATAGAAATTATTTGCGATAGTTTTTGTTATAGAAAAATATTAAGCCAAATTAGCACGGTAAAAAAATTATTTTTCTATCATTGAAAGATGTCTCCTTGTATAACAAAAATAATTCAATGCAAATTAACCCTGTTTTCAATAAAAAAAAAATTGTATAATGCGATGGAGCGCAACATAGAAATCACTGGCGATATTATACTCTTAATTATAGAAAAATAATGTATTAAGCAGTGTAAAAATATTATTTTTCTATAATTTTAAGATGTCTCTTTGCACATAAAAAATAATTGAATACAAATTAATGCTAGTACCTCAAAAAAAAATTTATATTTACTTTTAGAGCTTTTAACTCTCCTCTTAGAAGTTAATTTGGATAATCTACGTTGTACAGTGTTAGCGAATTAGAAACTCAAGCTATCGGAACACGTAGATTCGTTGCGATTAATTTTAAAAGTAACGCGAATGTTTGATGTCCCCAATCCGTGGACGTAAACCCCTAAATTCGCGGAGGAATCGCGGCGCCGTTGTGTTACGCGAACGCCCGGCACAAAGGGAGACGAAAATCAAGTTTTACGATGCGGCTCTCTAACTCTTACAATTAGCAACGCGTTTCAACGTTGAAATCCGCGGCTCGCGTGTTTGCCGGATAACGCAACTCGTAACGCGAGACAGTGCTTTTTCGAGTCGAAGCTCGCGAACAAGCACGGGGGGAAAAAACGACGAGATGCTCAAAGCTTTGAGCCGCGTGTACCGCGATTCCTTGGAAACCGTTGCAACTAAATTATTCAGTTGTCGTAGAGCACAAAGGTGGTTAAATTGCCCGGGCCACGGATACTCGAGACACGCGAAAATAGAATCACACGGCATTTTTAAAAACCTCCAAGGCGTTGTTTTCTAAGATAATTGCCAGATTTTAAAATTTTGTACAAGTAGAATTAATTCAGTCGAATCTTGGTCATTGGAAGCTTTAGAAGGCTAGAGTTTTTGCTATGTAAATCTCTACAAGTCAAATTGTATTGTTCCTTTGTAATTATATTAATATTTAGGCTTCTAAAATTGTTCATTGGCTCTACGAGTCGAAATGTATTGTTCTTCATACAAAAATGTTGTACAATGATATTTAAAGAAGCCATTAAATGGTAACTAAAGCTCTTCTCTACCTCTTAGGCACGATGCACCACTGTAATGTCATTATTCGATGCTATCTTTTTGAACGACGCGCCATTATAGTGGCTCACTCTGGTGGCTCACTCTGGTGGCTCACTTGCTCACTGTTTCAATTAAGTGATCGTTTCCATATGGTTTGATTCACACTATTTTTGCCTTCACAACGTTTTATACCAGTATTAACAATATACAGACATAATGTACAGTCTTTATTTTTAATAATAATACGCCATTGTCAAAATTCAGCCATGCCTAAGAGGTTAGAGGTTTGTATCATCATATTTGTAAATTCTTTATCCATTTGATGATCTGTACTTTAACTGTCAGCTAACTAGAGTTCTTCTAGCTTTCAATAGTGACAATGCATTTGATTTAAAAACTGCAGAATGCATTTAATATGCAAAAATATAAGAAACAAAGTAAGACACGAATTATTGTATTTAGAGGTCGAGACAACCTCTAAAAGTTTCATCGAAGATTGTTGGAAACGAAAAAGCGTGTGCAAAACGCGCAGGATCGAAGCAACGATTACTTTTTCACGGTCGACGTTGCACAGCAGGGGCACTTCATTCCGCGAGTGCATTTGAATTTCGTCGGTTCTAGTACGGGGGCTTGGATTCTCCGCGTATATTGCGGAGAAGGCGCAATACATTTCGACTGGCGGCTCCTAATCCGAATACCATGAAACAGCGGATCCGACAATAGCGTTGCATACTAAACATTTTCCAATAAATTCTCGATACGCTGCCCGCGGGGCCTCGTGCAAGCTTCGTTTTCCATTTCTCGTTCTCGTCTCTGCATCGCGCGTCATCGTTTCCCTGCCTCGGTGCTCGCGCGCGTGTCTGCACGTTTTGAATTATCGGTCGAAAATGTTAGGTTAGGTCTGGAATTAATTAACGCCACGACTTTCGCATTGTAAATTTAATTTTCCGAAATTCTTATTAAATTAATTTGCGAATACATGATGATACATGAATTATCGGTCGAAATTGTTAGGTTAGGTCTGGAATTAATTAACGCCACGACTTTCACATTGTAAATTTAATTTTCCGAAATTCTTATTAAATTAATTTGCGAATACATGATGATACATGAATTATCGGTCGAAAATGTTAGGTTAGGTCTGGAATTAATTAACGCTACGACTTTCGCATTGTAAATTCAATTTTCTGAAATTCTTATTAAATTAATTTGTAAATATATGATAAGCGTCGAATATATTAGGGTTAGGTAAATAAATGTAGCAATTGTTTTTTTTATAATAGTCATAGATAAGAATTAATACGTCTCGAGGTACATGCGATATTTAACACATTCGCTGTCAGATCAAAAATGTATAATATTCTGCAAAAGTAAAATATTGATTTTAGACCATTGTAAGCTACATAACATAAAATTTGTTTCAGTAGTTATTTTTGTAACCTTGTTAAAATTCACAAATTTTATTCAAACTTAATTCCCTCAACGTCTTAATTTGAGAATTAATTTTTCTAGTATCATAATGGTAAATTCTGTCATCCAACGATGACAGTCAAAGTGTTAATAGGAAAAAAGGAGTAGATTTAACACTTTACCGACCGGTAGCGGTTGATTAATCGGCTGTCGGTCGGTAAGCGTTGGTCGGTAAAGAAGTTGATTAATACGCTATCGGTCGGTAAGTGTTGGCCGGTAAAACAGTCGATTAATAGGCTATCGGTCGGTAAAGTGTTAATTCTCTGAAGCATTTATTAAATTAATTGTTAAAGAAATGTAGAAAATGTTGTTTATAATAGTCATAGAACATAAGAAATGATACGTCTCTAGGTACATGGGATATTTAACAGGAAAAGAGGAGTTTAACTCTAGATATACATTGATTCCATCTAAACTTATTTTGTTAGCAATTTTATTAAAATATAATTTTCTTTTCAACTAGAATATACATTTATCTCAGTACATTAGTTAGATTTAGTATAAATTGCTAACAAATAATATTGTGAGTTCTATAATTACACTTTCTGTAAATCTAGCGTTAATTGAACCTCTCAATGTTGGTTTTAAAATTGTTATCCTCCGGTGACTTGGCAGGAATATAACAGTAATTAGGAAAAGAGAAGTTTAGCTATAGATTTACATTGATTGCACATATCTAAACTCATCTTATTAACAGATTCATTAAAATACAATTTTCTTTTGAATTAGAATATACATTTATACCATTACAATTGATCAAATATAATATAAATTGCTAACAAATAATATTATGGGTTCTATAATTATACTTTTTGTGAATCTAGTGTTAATCCAACACATTTGTGGCGTCGTTTCCCATGCTCGCCACCAGAGGGCTCGCATTCTCACAAGCGCTCTCTGGGAAAAATTTTAATGGGAGATTCTAAAGGCCAAAATAAGACGAAAATCAACAAGTTGGTATTTTTGATTATAAAATTAAAATTTCTCATTAAAATTATTCTCAGTCCAAAAATTTTTATTAATTTTTAATTTAATATAAATTCCCAACAAATAATATCTCCTATAATTGTACAAATTATCGTAAATCTAGCGTTAACCCATTGTTAATTTTAAAATTATCCTCCCAGTCTCTAAATAATTAGTAGAGCAATTATATCAAGGACGAGAGAATACAACAGAATTATTTCCTCCCCAATTTGGGGGTGCGTCGTTGCGAGAAATGGTTCATCAAAGCGTTCAACGAATCTTGTCGCGAGTTAGGGGTGGGTTACACGTGTCGGGAAAATTGTTTCGTAGGGAAGACGGGAGGCAATATAAAAGGATTGATTGTCCCCGATCCTACGGCGAGACCGAGTAATAAAATTGCTCGTCCCGGACCCGGAAATTTTCCTGCACCGTGCACAGAAGTACAGGTGTTCTTATCCATCTCTTTTTTCTCCTCTCACCTCCCTCCCCTCCTGCGTCGTGAATGCGCCTTTATTTTTCTCCGGTTCTCTGAATCTCCGCGAGCATTATCTTTGAACGGTTCTTCTGGTTCCCTCGGCCATTAGAAACCGGGGCTGAATGTCGTTTGCTTTCAGTGGCTTTGTTACGTTTGAGCTCGTTTTCATAACGGCCGCGGAACACGACGGTAAAATCGCGTTTATTTCCACGAGATTTTATGAATCGTACCCGTTCCTCGTTTTTAATAACAACGCGTTTGATAACGAGGACGATTGTCCCGTTGGACCTCCGCAGAGTGATTCGCGGTTGTTTTATGGTACCTGACTCCCCCCTAATCGTTTTCAGATGCTGCAGGGTGTGCGCACGTGTCGAGGGTGAGCCGTGCGGCGGGCTGTTCGGTTTCTCCGGAAGCTGCGCCGACGATCTGCAATGCGTGATCAAGAATCTGCTGCCCAATGCCAGGGAGGTCGACGAGGGGATATGCACAAGTAGGTGCAATCGATTCGATTCGCGTTAGGGAGGTCAAAGAGTTCCTGCAATAAAGTGAGAAAGAGATGGATATATGTTCTAGTTGGTAAGAAGCAAAATAAGTAGAGGTAATTAGGCATAAATCATACTGAGGAGCCTCTGTGTATAGAGTATTGGTCGCAAGGAATTATAAGAACCATGTGGAAAAACATTTATTGTACAGGGTGTTCGGTCATACCTGGGAAAAATTTTAATGAGGGATTCTAGAAGTAAAAATAAGACGAAAATCAAGAATACTAATTTTTCGTTTGAGGCTTCGTTAAAAAGTTATTAACGTTTAAAGTTACGCCTATGAGACGCTGGCGCACGCATCTATGCGCAGGTTGCCTATCCTCAGGCGCAAATGTTAATAACTTCTTAAGCCTCAAACGAAAAATTGGTGTTCTTGATTTTCGGCTTATTTTGGCCTCTAGAAACCCCCACTAAAATTTTTTCCCAGGGCTTGTATAACAACCGAAGGGTTGGTCGAGCGCTTGTGAGAACGCGAGCCCTCTGGTGGCGAGCATTGAAGGCGGCGTCATTTCTGAGAAAAATTATAATGGGAGATTCTAGAGGCCAAAATAAGACGAAAATCAAGAATACTAATTTTTCGTTTGAGGCTTCGTTAAAAAGTTATTAACGTTTAAAGTTACGCCTATGAGACGCTGGCGCACGCATCTATGCGCAGGTTGCCTATCCTCAGGCGCAAATGTTAATAACTTTTTAAGCCTCAAACGAAAAATTGGTGTTCTTGATTTTCGGCTTATTTTGGCCTCTAGAAACCCCCACTAAAATTTTTTCCCAGGGCTTGTATAACAACCGAAGGGTTGGTCGAGCGCTTGTGAGAACGCGAGCCCTCTGGTGGCGAGCATTGAAGGCGGCGTCATTTCTGAGAAAAATTATAATGGGAGATTCTAGAGGCCAAAATAAGACGAAAATCAAGAATACTAATTTTTCGTTTGAGGCTTCGTTAAAAAGTTATTAACGTTTAAAGTTACGCCTATGAGACGCTGGCGCACGCATCTATGCGCAGGTTGCCTATCCTCAGGCGCAAATGTTAATAACTTTTTAAGCCTCAAACGAAAAATTGGTGTTCTTGATTTTCGGCTTATTTTGGCCTCTAGAAACCCCCACTAAAATTTTTTCCCAGGGCTTGTATAACAACCGAAGGGTTGGTCGAGCGCTTGTGAGAACGCGAGCCCTCTGGTGGCGAGCATTGAAGGCGGCGTCATTTCTGAGAAAAATTATAATGGGAGATTCTAGAGGCCAAAATAAAACGAAAATCAAGAATACCAATTTTTCGTTTGAGGCTTCGTTGAAAAGTTATTAACGTTTAAAGTGATGTCTATGAGACGCTGGCGCACGCAGCTATGCGCAGGTTGCCTATCCTCAGGCACAAACGTTAATAACTTTTTAACGAAGCCTCAAACGAAAAATTGGTATTCTTGATTTTCGGCTTATTTTGGCCTCTAGAAACCCCCACTAAAATTTTTTCCCAGGGCTTGTATAACAACCGAAGGGTTGGTCGAGCGCTTGTGAGAACGCGAGCCCTCTGGTGGCGAGCATTAAAGGTGGCGTCATTTCTGAGAAAAATTATAATGGGAGATTCTAGAGGCCAAAATAAGACGAAAATGAAGAATACCAATTTTTCGTTTGAGGCTTCGTTAAAAAGTTATTAACGTTTAAAGTTACGCCTATGAGACGCTGGCGCACGCATCTATGCGCAGGTTGCCTACCTACAGGCGCAACTGTTAATAACTTTTTAACGAAGCCTCAAACGAAAAATTGGTATTCTTGATTTTCGGCTTATTTTGGCCTCTAGAATCCCCCATTAAAATTTTTTAAAAATTCGACTTCCTCTCATTAACACACATTTAATTAGCACGAGGCTTCGTTACAGACAAAAGACACACGGTACAATAGTAGAATTGTAGTAAGTCGGAAGAACTCTAGATGGCGCAGAAACAAATGGCGCTTTGTTTCTAACGCTTTGTTATAAGCTTTTTAAATATAGGGAGAATTCATATAGTATTACAAAATATGTTCACATTTTTTAAATTGATTAGCAGTATTATTGTACAGTTTCTTTTCCAAATTTCATCTGTAAAAAATAATTTTCCACCAGCGTTCTGTTAATTAACGTCTCACTGTGTAGTTTATTCCGAATTTATAATTGTCTCACAAACGGAACCAAAGTCTATTCTTTCCAATGTATTTCTAAATTTTAATACTCGAGTGTCTGTAAATAATTGCGTCTGGAAAGAATGCAGTCATTGGAGAAAACAAACGAGGTGTATTGGGTCTCGAGTGTTCTGCTTTCGAACGATAAATTAATTATTAGCAGTGAATGCACGAACTTTCCTATTCTCCAGATTTAGTTCCTAATGATTATTCTGGTATTTAAAGAACTCTCATATCGAAAATACAAAGCTTCGATGTAAAACGAACTCGAAAGGGATTCGAAAGTTTTGTTGATGGCGAAGACAATGGTTCCTGCAGCGGGCATAGTTGCATCGAAACTTCGTTATGAAAACATTTTGGGGCAACATTTTTAGGGACTTTTTCTTTCGTCGTTGTTGCGGGAATTTTTTGACCTGCCCAACGTAATAATAAAAATAGTAGTCAGTGTTATTTTTTAGAGCGTTTAAATAATGATGAAATTGTCAGAAAAATATTTGATAATTCAAAACCTGTTTGACACGGAGAGGTCAAATGGAAGCGAGAAAATGGGGGAACGAGGGCAGAGGAAAAAGAGAAAAGGGCTTTTTAAAGTAAGATAAGTGGACCTTGTCTGGAGTGGCCAGAAAAGGCGAAGGACAACTGTACGATCGTTGGAACTTCCTAATACTTCAAGAAAACTACCGAGAAGTAGTCCAAAGGATCATCTCTCTTTTAAGGCAGGGCGTTGTTTTTGCACCCAACTCTTATTTCTGAACGAAAAAATGTGCTTGGAATTTCTAGTTATTTATAATGATAGCTAACAGTAATTAACAGTTAAAATTGAAAAATAACTCCACCTCGTGGCCCAGTTAGAATTTTATATTTTACAAAACATTTATCAAATAGCGTTCAAAATTGTAGAATAATGATTTGAAAGCGGAAATGAGAATAAATGAACGACGAAACGATATTCTTCGAAACAGTGTGATTAATAACGTTGTCCGGTTCGTGAAAATTTGGCGTCATCGATTACTCTGTCTCTTCGTGTTCGCCGTGTCATAGCCACTAATAATCCTGCACAAACAGCGCGACGATTGTCTCGTCGAGGGTCGCTAATGCAGTGGCGTTTCGATTCAATGAGGACGGGAACATCCGTGCTTTTCCGTCGATCAGTGATTTCATTTTTCCACGTTCTGGACCATTATTTTTCCTAAACATTTTAACATAATAACAACGACTACAAGGTTTTATTTTATTAGGCTTGTAGGAGAAATTGTAATCACAGGTGTACATACAGGGTGTTCGACCAAACCTGGGAAAAATTCAAAAAGCTAACCTTCTTAGAAAAAAGGAATTTCAACGACCATGTTTTATAACCTAAAAATATTTTTGTGACAATTATTCAAAAGTTCATTTAACGTTAACTTAATTTTATTCATTTCAATCCTTAACTACTTGAACACAGCATGCAAAATAATAAAATAAAAATTGTATAAAATGCAACCCTCCCGTATGTATATGCTGAAGAACGAAAAATTGACAAATATAAAAAATTGTTCGACACTTCTCCCAAGGATTTCTATAAACTAAAGACTCACAATGTAATGGTTGTATAAAATGCAACCGTCTCGTATGTATATGCTGAAGAATGAAAAATTGACAACCACCAAAATTTGTTTGATACTACTCTCAATTCAAAAAGCAACTCTTCTTAAAAGAAAGGAATTTCAACGACCATGTTTTATAGACAAAAAAATATTTTTGTAATAATTATTCAAAAGTTCATTTCACGTTAACTCAATTTTATTCATTGCAACCCTTAACTGTTTAAACACAACAGCAAAACTATAACTTTGAATATAGTGGTTGTACAAGATGCAACCGTCCCGTATGTATATGCTGAAGAACGAAAAATTGACAAATGAAAAAAATTGTTCGACACTTCTCCCAAGGATTTCTATAAACTAAAGACTCACAATGTAATGGTTGTATAAAATGCAACCGTCTCGTATGTATATGCTGAAGAATGAAAAATTGACAACCACCAAAATTTGTTTGATACTACTCTTAATTAAAAAAGCAACTCTTCTTAAAACAAAAGAATTTCAACGACCATGTTTTATAACCCAAAAATATTTTTGTAATAATTATTCAAAAGTTCATTTAACGTTAACTCAATTTTATTCATTGCAACCCTTAACTGTTTAAACACAACAGCAAAACTATAACTTTGAATATAGTGGTTGTACAAGATGCAACCGTCCCGTATGTATATGCTGAAGAACGAAAAATTGACAAATGAAAAAAATTGTTCGACACTTCTCCCAAGGATTTCTATAAACTAAAGACTCACAATGTAATGGTTGTATAAAATGCAACCGTCTCGTATGTATATGCTGAAGAATGAAAAATTGACAACCACCAAAATTTGTTTGATACTACTCTTAATTCAAAAAGCAACTCTTCTTAAAAGAAAGGAATTTCAACGACCATGTTTTATAACCAAAAAATGTTTTTGCGACAATTATTCACGAGCTTATTTAATGTTAACTTAATTTTATTCATTTCAACCCTTAACTACTTTAACACAGCATGCAAAATAATAACTTTTGATATAATGGTTGTATAAAATGCAACCCTCTCGAATGTATATGCTGAAGAACGAAAAATTGACAAACACAAAAAATTGTTTGATACTTCTCCTAATTCAAAAAGCAACCCTTCTTAAATAGAAGGAATCTCTGCAGCCATGTTTTATAACAAATTATTTTTGTAACAATTATTCACGAGCTTATTTAACGTTAACTTAATTTTATTCATT